TAAGTGAGTAACTGAAGGGTAAGTAAGTAAGTAAGTAGGAAAGTAAGTAATTTAGTTAGTTAGTTAGTTAGTTAGTTAGTTTTTCGGTTAACAAAGCGAGAATCAAATATAGTAAAAAGACAAATAATACTGATTTAAACAAGACAAGTAAAAAAGTTTTTCTATTTGTTTTATTTTTTATTCCCTAATTTTTCTTGATATATAAATTGTAAGTAATTAATTATATGACATAAAGGACATATGTACTGGGTATGTCATTGTAAGACATGATTAAATTTATATTTGGACAAAAAACGCGCACAAAAAACGATGTGTAAACAAAGTGTCGAATAACGTTTTTTGGTGTAAAAGAGTGAATATTTAACAAACAGTTTTAATTCTGTCGTTTATCTTGAAAACAACTTTTGATTTGTGTTTTTTAAAAAAAATCCATACAACCATATATGATGATCATAAATGATTTGTATCAAACTAACAAAGAGTTGTCATGCTGTAGTTTGGATAATGTTTTCAAATCACCCAGGATAAAATTTTTCCTGTACATGAATCGTTAAAATTACTGAAGAAATCAATGGCTAAAGATAATGGTCGATAATGTTAGTAGAAGCCATACTGATGGGTGGATGAAAGGATTTGATTGTAAACGGGGTTATCTTTAGTCAAGTTGAGTGTATACGAGGGTTTACTTACATTGTGAAATGATATTTCTTTCTGAGAGACCTGTAAATAAAGTTGGATCACGTATGGTTTTAACAACATGGAAACATGATCATCGAGAGCACGCTGATTCGATTTATGATAAGACTCCTTGATTATACAAATCTGTGGAAGCTTCAAAAATAGATCTCAAGACCTTCAGGACCTTCGGTCATGCAAGCGGACGCCTAACCTCTGGACCACTGAGCCAGTGTCCAGTGGTCTTAATGTCTAATTTCACCCATCGTCTTCGGTAGTTACCGCCTACACCCGACAGGTTTGAACTCCACTGATCACGTCTTCTCCCTTGAACACCAAGAATTTCCTCACAAAGCTTGTCATCTTTGCGCAAAATCTTAGTAATGTACATATCTAGATTAATTATTCATGGTACATCATGGATTGATAAATTATGAAATCTAAAGTGTCAAGAACTTTTAAACCGAAGACAAATATGTGAGGTCTCGCGAAATCCCTAGATTGGTCAGAGTTAAACATTAATACGGCTGGTCTAGAGTTTAGACATTCACGAGCATGACCAAATGTCCTAAGCTAAATTGCTGCGAGTAGCGGGGTTCGTGAATGCACACTGCTAAAGAGTCCCATACTAGGACCAAACGTCCTGCCAGTTCTGAAAAATGCAATAACACTGTCTGACGTCATAAAATACTGAATAGTTGTTATATTTAAAACTTTCATATAGACAATTATTTAAGAATGAGAAAATTCCATTTGTCAATATCAAAAACTCATTGACATTAAAATGTTTAGCAAGTCTTTTCTGCTGAACATGAGTTATGGAACACTAATTTACTACCTCAGTATTAGGCTAATTGTTACATTCAATTCCAGAAATACAGGCAGTCAATCGTATTGGTATTCACTTAAGCTCACATCAAATCTACACAAGTAATGATGCTTAGTTAACCATACATACACCTTGCTATTGTCAATCATCAACCAACAGAAATTTTCTTTGCTTATTCACTTCGTTTCTCGCTTGTTTTTCCGTGTAAAACGCAAATACACGAGAATTTTATTGTACAGAAAAAAAGAATAAAGAACGGTTAGAGATTGACATAGAATTTGCAAATGGTAGATTGTGATCGCGGGGTGAAAAAAGCAAAGCTTAAATATTCTGTAAGTGTTTAAAAAATACATGAGAATTATTTTTTTTGGAAGGAACTTCAAGCACGCATATGCGCCCTGTACACTCACGCACACACACACATATATACCCGACTTGAAAATCGCAGGGAAACATGAAGGCTAAAACGTTTTTGCTTCAAAATTACTGGTAGATTATATATACATGTTTTCTTTTTCTTCTGAAAGAATTTGATTGAATTCATAAAAATAAATTCTATTTGATGTACATGATAAATATAATTAAATTAGATTTTAATTCTTGAAAATGGCTAGTGTGAAATCCGTAGATGGATCAGTGTTAAACATTTACACTTTTAGATGCCAGCTAGCTCAGTTGTCCGGAAGTTAGGCTTTGATGCACAAGACCGAAGATCTTGGGTTTGATTCCTGCGAGTAGCAGGCGTCGTGGATGCTCATCGCTGATTAGTCTCATGCTATAGGATGAAATTCACGTCCAATGCTCCCAAGTTTTAATAACAGTCTATTGTAAATTTAGACCATTTACAACTGATAGAAGACCTGAAATTGCATTACTTACTTACTTACTTACCTAGTTACTTACTTACTTACTTACTTAGTTACTTACCTGCTTACTTACTTACTTAGTTACTTAGTTACTTACCTGCTTACTTACTTACTTACTTACTTATTTACTTACTAACTAACTAACTTACTTACTTACTTATTTACTTACTTACTTACTTACTTACTTACCTGCTTACTTACTTACTTACTTACTTACTTACTTACTTACTTACTTACTTACTTACTTATTTACTTACTTAACCACTTACGCACTTACCTAATTATTTACTTAGTCACTAACTAACTTACTTTTTTTTCACACTATAAAACTAGTTGTTCCACTTAAAATCACAATGAGCACTTTCATATTTACACACATGTCTTATTCTTGTTTCAAACAGTCATCTCAGTTTCATTAACATCAGATAAATCTCATCTATTTTTTTTGAAGCTTCTCTGTTTTAACTGCAAAGTATTTACAGTTAAAGATGAAGTGTTACTGTCATAAAAAATAGATTGATGAATTCATTTGTCTGCTTCAAAATCTTGGTTTTTAGTTTGTCTACATTGATTTACAACTCATTTACTGGTGTATTAATGTTTCGTTATCAAAAAGCTAAGTAAACATTTTCGTCACTTCTCTATGAGATGTTGAATCCGATAGCTAGCGACTTAGCTAGCCAGTATAAGTAAGTTTCTTCAAAAAAAAATTTGAACATTGATGAGTTTTAAATGAGAAATTATTCAAATTTTGTTTTTTGTTTACTTAACGGTGTAATAAAAGTTGAAGTAGAAAAAACAACAGCAGCGTTTAAGGCTGTTAGTTTTTCCATGTGAATAAGTTTCTTTTCAGTTATTATTCATGAGGAAATTTCGGATACTGGCTTAATAGTCCGAAGGTTTAGCGTTCGCTTGTAAGACCGAAGGTCCTGGCTTATAAATCTGCGAGTGGCAGGAGTCATGGATGTTCATCCATGATGAGTCCCATACTATAGGACGACACGGCCGTCTTGTGCTTCCAAGTCCTTAAGAGGTAGTCTAATATTGATCGATTCATGATTCTAATATGAAAAACAATGATCTCCATAATACTCTAATGAAAAAAAATTATTGACTTTGTTAATGAATGAAAATAAACTGAGAGGACGTGACCAATGGAGTTCAAACCTGTTGGGTATAAGAAGTAATTATCGAAGACAGTGAGTCAGGTTGCGCTAAATCTTTACATTGATGAGAGTTAGATATTAACATCGTTCGATATCGGCTCTGTTCAATGGTTGGGCGTACGCGCACGAGACCGAAGGTTCTGATTTCAAACACTGGGAGTCTCAGAAGTCGTGCATGTGCACTATTGATGAGTCCCATAAAATAGGACGAAATGTCCGTGGAGTGCTTCCAGGAATCTAATGCAGGTCTATTTCATTCATTATAAATGACTGAGAATTTCTCAACAATAAAACCAGTTCAAAATTTTTAACAATGTCTCATTTTTGAATGATTGATCAACTGATATTTTGATGTGAATTGTTTCCTTTTAAAAATTCATTTTTTTGACATTCTGTTCGACCGAGTCGATTTCTAGAAGATTCAATTTTCATTTATTGATAAAAGCACTTATTTGAATTAAGATCGATCGTTCTCCGAGTTGGATTATTTGGTCATGAGTTCGCTTTTATTATTCTTCTTCTGAACAACCACCTCAGCCTGACCATCAGGTAGAATTGAAGTATTCCATTTTCTCTACATGTAACCTCCAGCTTAGCCTACAAATTTCGATCTTTGATTGGTTGTTAATGACTTTTAACCTGATATTATCTGACTCTATACTTTGACAGTTTCTCAAACAACCAATAAATTTGAAATGTACAACTGATGTAAATGATTTCATTGAAATGATGAAAAGAACAAAACTTTCTTCACATTTGAAATCATCAATCAATCAATCATTGTTAGACCACCATTAGAAACCTGGAAGCACACTGGACGGCCGTTTCGTCCTGGTATGGGACTCATCATCAGCAACAATGATTGATTGAGTGATGATTTCAAACACAAACCTCCATAACTCTGCCCCAAAACTTTCTTCAATGAATTCTTGTTATTATCATTCATTAACATAATAAGTAATTGCATGATTTAAATATAAAAAAAATGATCTCTATCGTTTAAAAATAAAACCTTCAAATTTTCTCACTAATAACTAGCTTCGTGAGGAAATTCTCAAAGTTCTAGTGGAAATCCTTGACCAATGGAGTTCAACTCTGTCAAATTTAGTCAGTAACTACCCAAAACAACGGGTGGAGGTTTCGCAAAATCCTTAGATTGATCACATATTGGTATTAAAACCGATGGATGTCAGCTAGGTGAGTGGTCCAGAGGTTAGGCGTTCGCGCGCATTAGTGTAGGTCCAGTGTTAGAGTCCTGTGAGTAGCAGGAGTCGTGGATGCGCACTGCCAATGAATCCCATACTATAGGACCAAACAGTCGTCCAGTGCTTTCAGGTTTCTCATGATAGTCTAACAATAATTTATTCATGATTACTTAGAATAAGTAACTTTAATTATCCTAAAAACGCAAAAAGCAACACTTACTTTCAGTATTCATAAATTCCAAAATACCTGGATCTTGAAATAACTCCTTATCATTATCATGATTGTGAGATGATTGTGTTTTACTTAAAAATTGATAGATTCCTTCAAATCCACGTGCGCCTAAACTGTTGACATGTGTTTGCAATGTCAACATTAGCAATGGATGATCTGAAATGATTTCAATGTGATCTTTGCTACCGCATAAAAATAATAATTGTTTTTTTAATTGATAAATAAATGCGTTTTCATGAAGTTTGTGTAGTAATTGGCTAAGCGTGGCATCGTTTGTATTGAATAATGAAGTGGCAATTTCATGTACATGTATGGTATCACGTTGTAAAGTGGAATGACAACTGTGAAAACATGCAAAAAGAAGTAAGAGAATGATGATAAGCATAGAGAAAAAGGGATGCTAAAGATTATTTAATTGCGAATCAAAGTAAAAAATTCAGTTTGAGTCAAAGTTCGCTTCTATATATATTTTGCTTTCATTAAAACATGAAAAGGCCTATAGGCAGGCAAGTCAAGGGTATGTGCACTATGAAAAGGTTTTAAAAGTTGGATTTTTAAGTGATGAACAATTGCATGCTTACGTCTTTTTTATGGAAAACTAATTGATGAAACGTATTTTGGGAGTCTCATCAGTGCTGATTGCCTGGTGTGTCACAAAATCTCAGTACGTATACAAAAGGCTCGACCTGAGTCAGGCAAGAAATTCATCCACTAACCAAAGGATGAGTTTACTGTCCCTTAGTTCGTGCCATCCTTCTCTATGGCTAGGAACCATAGTCATTAAGAGAAGAGGATATTCGTAGGCTACTAGTATTCAACAAAATAATTGTTCCGTAGATGTATTTTTCATGAACGACATGTAATCGTGACATGATTGTTTCATTTTGATTACCATTGTTGTGTACAAGATGATCTACGGTGGTCTTAGAAGTATGAGAGTGGTTACAACTTCCAGCTGCCTAATTAAAAGAAGGATATTTTATTTTGAAGGACATGGATAGGATGTTGGATGAGTGGTGGTCTCAATGACGTGGGAGCGGGATGGAAGGGCCAAGGGGGCAACTGCTTGAAGCCAATCACACACGGCTTTCGTATGAGGGTTATTGGATGCGCTAGCTTAGCACTCTAAAAAGCCTTACCACCGAAGATGGATATTCATAAGATAAGGTGATCTTTGAAAACAATGCCGTTCACTCATAAGTGATAGATACATCATAAAACCAAAACTCGAGAGTATCATATGTTGCTGACTTTTACAATTTAAAATTTCCTATACACCAGCAAATCAGCTTCCTACGATAAATGTCCTAGTAATGTACATATTTAGATTTATTATTGAAATCGAATCAGTCATCGTTAGACCACCATGGGAAACCAAGAAGCATTAGACAGCCGTTCCATCCTATAGTATAGGACTCATCAGCAGTGAGCATCCACGACTCTCATTACTCGTTGAAATCAAACACAGGACCTTCGGTCTTGAGCATAAAAGTTTAACTGTGGACCGTTGAGCCGTTATCAAACGCTGTTAATGTCTGACTCTGAACAATTTGATTTTACACAACCTCATCCATGGTCTTCAGTAGTTATTGCCATTGAGATCATGAATGACTCACTGTTACACCACCATTATAAACTTTTAGGCAGTGGATGACCGTTTCCTCCTAGTGTGGCACTCACCAGCAGTGCGCAGCCACAACTATAGTGAATGAGAACACAGGTGAGGGCAACCGAATTGCATTTAACAAAAATTACAGAGTTACTCAGTAAAATCGGAAAACCATATCGTAAATCGTCAATTTGCAAAATATCAGTCCATCATATCGAACTGGACTGTTCCTGTCGCAAAACATCAATCCATTGTCACTATTCATGCGTTTCATACAATTTCCATTGTGTTCTCACTCTTCCTTTCTTGATCTTCCCCCATCTTCTGCTGCCAGACATTACATTGACACTCACATCATATACTACTTATAAGTAGCTCGCACCACAACAACTACCGCTACTAGCAGGATTTGAACCCGCGATATTCAGGTTTGCGTGCAAACGCTTAACCACTGAACCACTGAGCCGGAATTCAACTGTTTTAATGCCTAACATCGATCATTCATCCATGGATGTGCAATACTGATCAAGCCTACATCAGGAAGAAACGGCCATCAAGTGATTTCAGGTTTCCAACAATAGTCTAACATTGCTCGATTCATCATTCCAGTAAGCACAAAATCATTTCTAATCCTAATATTAACATCAATAATATTAAAATGTGTTATACTGTATTGTATAGAGTATTAAACTAACTTTTGATTACTCCATAATTGTACATTATTCAACTTGATAATGATACGTTCATTTGAATGAGCTAAAAAATAATATTTACATAACATGGTTGATACATTATTATTATGATAAAATTGTGGATAATTTGGACTGAAAAATTTTCCATTTGATTTAAATTGTAGAAAAAATAATTCTTGATCATTATTGAACATGCGTTGAGGTGGATTGCGATTTAATTGATCGATCTGATGTAATAATAACGGGTTAGAATTCGTTCGAAATGATTTATTGTTATTTTTATTATTATTTTTGTTATTTTTATGAGATGAACTGAAAAATAATTGATCACATTTTGTAGATTGAATGTGAATTCCATCAGTTTGATATGTATCTAATTTGTGCAATAACAATAAAAAAAGTAATGATCAGTGAGAATTGCAAAACGAAATTGCTACTTAAATATTTTTAAGTAGTATTAAGGATTATGACAAAAAAATTGATTGGGGAAAAAATGTAATTTACAAACACTGATGCGTTCGTATGGCATTTTATCCAGTTTTTAGAAAAGATGAGATTATATATGTATATGAATTTCCATAAACTTGAAAGGGTCTCTTAAGCAATATATTTATCTATGTTCCTTTTCTATTGCTGAAAAGGATTAGTAGAACATTAGGAAGTCTGAGAGTTCAGTTATCCCACTGTATTATATACGTGGTAGATACGTGATTTTATGACACTTTTGTATTTTTGAACCGAAGAGAGATGTGGATATTCGATAGGATGATCTAACCTATTTAATAAAATTAAGAGCCGAAAAATTCCTGTAAAATCAGGCATTTTATCAATGATACAGGAAAGATCCATCTATATCACAAGAATGCATTCATACACGATTGTCTAAATACATGAGAACTTCTTTATAGAAGGTGTAATTTACTAACTGTCTTTCAAGAAGGCATTATTGATAGTTAACTTCGAAAAATGTCATGCTTTGAATGATCGAAACGCGGATCCAAGTACATCTCTCAAGTAGTCGTTGATACAAATCTTGAACAAACTTCATATAGAAATCAAAAGTGGAAATTAGCGGTTCAGTTGTTTTCAGCAGCTAAGAGATATTAATGAATAAGGGTTTAAAAGTACTTCTCAGTCACATAACATGTAGCAGTTAATGATCTACTAACCTTTACGCTGAAATTTTCACCTCTTCTGTTAACATCATGTTTAATGTTTTCAGACATGATATTTATTTCATTGAAATCCTAAAACTGATAAAAGTTAGACTACGAATAAAGACTTTAGATCACTAGACGGTTATTTAGTCATAGTAGGGGACTTTTCAGTTGTGCACATCCTCGATCCAAACAGGAAAGTCAAACCCAAGTCTTTTAGTTTTGAGCGCAACAGTCAATTTTGTCTCAAATAAATAAATGATCGTCCAAACGATCAAGAACCCCCCAATTAAAGAATTTTTACTGATATACACAATTTTGCATACAACATACTTGCTAGCACTAATATTTCTAGATTTCATTGAATCGCACAAATACTAGGAGAATATCAATTCCTGGCCTTTAACTAACAAAAACTTTATCATTTATTTGAAATACAACATTTTATATGCATTTTGTTAGCAAATAAGACATTCAATTAGTTCAACAGTATTATTGTAGCGAATACTACTTACACAACGAGGTTTGTAAGTAGTATGTAGCACAACCAACCAATTCGAAGCTCACATATATGTTTTAAAACTTACCTTTATCTAAAAATTCAAATAATCCTAGAATTTTTTGACTTTCATTAGTAATTTGATCTAATTCAATAATTAGAACTCGTCCAGTGGAATAAAATTCCTGTACAGGGAGTTGATTCAACTCTTGACCACATAATCGATAATCCGGTTGATCATCGCGCATTAATTCTGCTCTATCTAATCGATGATAAACTGTGAATTGTGTAGTACATCTGTTTAACAAGAAAAATAAATGTTTAAAATTTTTTTAAAAAATCGATAGATTTAATGGTTAGGCGTTTGCGCACAATACCGAAGGTCGCGGGTTCAAATCCTGCGAGAAGCAGGAGTCGTGGATGCGCACTACCACTGATGAATCAGTCCCATACCAGGAAAAAACGGCCGTCCAGTGCTTTCAGGTTTCTAATGGTGATCTAACAATGATTGATTGATGATTTCAAATGAGTAAAAACACAAACCTCCAAAACTCTGCCCCAAAAGATTTAATAGAATTTTAAATTCTCTTTTACGTACCAACTAACTTTGTCTAAATAACGCTCAAAAACCATAAATTATTGGCAGGCTTCTGTGGTCTTCGCGTATGAATTCTCAGCAATGGACAAGCACGAACCTAACACGAATCAAATACAGCAAGACTTCAATGGTATGCTACATTTAGAAACGTTTGTCACTAAAGTTCTATATAAACAAAAGCCGATTTGATTAATCTTCGCCTTGTCTACATTTTATTGTCATTTATAACACCATATTTATTGACATCATCATATGATTTCAGAAAAATCGATGCTGAAAAATCGATATCTTCCTTGATGGCCAATACACACGCATTCACAACATGAAATATGGAAGCTAAGTTATCTATAATTCACTTTATCTAGGAATACACTATTTACACACCTACACAAGTAGATTTCGTTCGTACAAAAGAGATAAAAAAAATGTTTTATTTCAGGCTTCTTTAAATCGATATAATCCTTGTATCAGCTGACAAGGGATTATATGATAACTATCATACAAAACCAATGTAGAGTAAATGAAATGTCACTAAACCTTAGTCAACACAATCCATTAAACTGAACTGTTTTGACATTGCTAGACTGTAGATCACTGAAGGCTGAACTGTTAACCAGATCCCTTAGCACTCAAGTATGATCAGTATTAAATAATCGATTTCACACAATGAGTCAGCATAATGAGGCAGTTTTATTAATCTGTACGCATTTTTCCTGTTTTTACTGATACGCACTATGATTGTCGTAAGAAACTGTTTGTTCTATGCAGTCAGTTAAGTATAATTAGTACATGGCTATCAATGTGGACTAGTTCAGGTTAGGTGTTAACCGAGATATGTGACCTTGACGTGAGGTAGGAGAACACACTATTACTGACCGTCCACATAGGTGATCTACAGTAACAGTGAAATGATGAAGGCGGAAATCGTTTCGCCTACCTTTTCATTATGCAAATTAACGAAGTCTGTATACCAAAAGAAATTATTCGGCTGTTCAAATAGTGACCTACTTTTGTTGCCAGTAGTTTCTCAGGACAGTTGGTAAATGCTTAAGGCAGTTGAAATTAATGCCTGAAACTTGTTTTCTGAATGAGGAACATCAGTTCGGTAGTGTTTGGTAATCTCTATCAAGATGTATACGTATTGTTGAAAGAATAGTTCAGTTGCACAAGCACTGACTGTGATACTGAGTGACAGTGATTGAGTTTAGATGAATAGCATTGTTTCCCTCAGGAAAGCAGTACATACGAGTTAACTAAGTGAGTCAACTTAAGTGAATATTAGACTCCGAATTTATTTCTGATTACTTTCAGTCACGCAATACTTAAAACAATGCGCGATCCGGTATCGGGGAATTCAGTATGATGACCAGGTTGAAGCTTCATGTTTTATCCTTTAGGATGAAATTCCTGATGAACAACATTGAAAATATCTCTACTCATACCTCATTTGAAGCCACTCCTAAGGCCACTGTCCGTCATAATCCAGTGTAAACAAGGAGGTTTAGGCATGGGTTGGCGATAAATAGCCCAGTGTATGAAAGCAATATGGAGCAACATTCACTGGGAGAAAGAAACGGAAATGTTTATGGACTGGTCGGTCTATGTGTCTTCAACAAATTGACCTAAGTATCTATCATTTTCTACAATCACATTGATAATGCTGCTCACTTCGTACCGTACCACACTTAAAAATCCATGTCGGCCACACATGCGATAGTACAAAAGTTCCATTGAAGATGTAAGAACAAAGAGGGAAGCTAATAAGGCTTAGGTCAGGCAGCACTGAAGAAAATAATTAGAACAAGCGCATGGAAAAATCTGGACGACCTGGTTTCCATATCGAAAAATACTGCTTTATGAGGAAATATGAGAGTACTATATGATACAACTAGGAGTCATACAAGGAAGTATTGTAGACCAAAGTGACCACTCAGGAACAACTAAACAAAATCAATCACCAAAGTTCAAGAGTGATGGAACAGGTGTGTTAGGCATTTCAAATAGATCTTTAAATTTGTAAATAACACATCCTGTCAAATATCCACAGATTCCATGATAATAAGCAAATGTACGCCAGTATCCTTTCAGATAAGAAATATCTGGAATCCAAAACAACCCTCATACAACACTCATAACTCACAAATCACAACCTCAACATCAAAATTACTAACTTTCATACAGCGAAACTGTCAACACCTACCATCATTATCGGAAACCTACTCCACCATCAAATACCTACACAACATACTCCTAATCCATTGACCAGAGATCACAAATCATCACCTACTGTGGTAGAGCACAAACCAATTGTCAGTTAATGACAGTATTATGGAAAATACAGTGTGTGGTGGATAGAATATTGTTGGAGGAGACCGGTAATCTGGACAACCGGAGAATCCTAAATTGGAATCCTGAAATCAAAAAGAAAGGAGGCGATCGAAAGAACACAGTATTTCGGTAATCAGAGGTGGATATGTTGAGAGAGAGTATCACTTGTCAATAAGTGGAGACAAGAGATGTGAACAGAGTAAATTGTAGATTTGAAATCATCAATCAATCATTGTTAGACCACCATTGGAAACCTGGAAGCACTGGACTAGTGACTAGCTTCGTGATGAAATTCTCGGATTTTTAGTTGAGAAGACGTGACCAATGGAGTTCGACCCTGTTGGGTGTAGGCAGTAACTGCCAAAGACAAGTGGGTGAGGTCGCGCAAAATCCCTAGATCAATCAGAGTTAGACATCAACACCGTTGGATGCCAGCCCAGTGGTCCGATGGTAAGGAGTTCACGCACAACACCGAAGGTCCTGGGTTCGAATCCTGTGAGGTGCAGGAGTCGTGGATGCGCACTGCCACTGATGAGTCCCATACCAGGACGAAACGGCCTTCCAGTGCTTTCAGGTTTCCAAAGGTGGTCTAACAATGATTGATTGATGATTTCAAATGTGTAAAAACACAAACCTCCAAAACTCTGCCCCAAAATAAATTGTAGCTCTCTAGTTAGTGATCCAAGCTTGTGATGTTGTGGTGAGATTGCTCAACTAATCGGAGTAACATTTCAAAGATTATAAAACTCACTAATGCTTTAATTGACGGTCCATATTTAAGATAAACCATTAAAGCTTTTTTTCTTTTGTCAATCATTAACTTACTTATCTCCTCTGCCAAATGTTTCTTTGTTGATTGATAGATTGAAATCCAATAAACGTATATGTACAATTTCTTTTAAATCACCAACAAATGTATAAATGATACAATTGGACATTGAATCCCTTAATATTTGTGCATGTCTATTGGTGATAAATTCAAATGTACCATTACTCAGTCCAGTACTTTGAAATAAATAACATAAGCAACCTAAAAAAATATTTAAAAAAACCAGTTGAAAATACATTTAATAAGAAAGTTTGAAATTTTTTAGTAAACTCATAATTTGTAGATTATTAGCTCATGTATAGTTAGTTTTTGACATGCTTGAATGCCATTGCGAGTTCACCTTACTCGGTAAACGGTAAGAAGATCAACGATACAGTGACACGATAGGCTATTCTAATCCGATTGTCTCAAGCCCGGATAACTAGAGAAAGAAGCCTTGATTAGACGTGGAGAATGTATTCCACAAGCACCCAGAAAGTATGGAGTCAACTAGCACACAGGTCAAGCTCATTTATATAATGATAAAATGCCCTTGGTGAGAGCCACAAAACAGCATACTGAAATAATCCATCAGCCAATGACAGTCAAGGATTTTCCAGGTGGGAAATGCAAGCTAAAGGTTCAAATGAGCGTCTTTGGCAAGAAATTCAGAATACTTACTTACTTACTTACCTATGCACCTACTTACTTACTTACTTACTTACTTGCTTGCTTACTTACCTATGCACCTACTTACTTACTTACACATCTACGCCTGTTACCACTTTTCTCCAACCAACTCTGTCCTCGGCTTCCCTTTCCAGTTCTGTCCAATTTTTATTCATTCTTCTCATATCTTTCTCTATTTATCGGGGTACTGTGTTCCTTGGCCTTCCTGTTTTCCTTTTGCCTTGAGGGTTCCATGTGAGGGCTTGTCTTGTGACGCAGTTAGGTGCTTTTTGTAGAGTGTGTCCTATCCACTCCCACCGTTTCTTCTTGATTTCCCTTTCCACTGAAATCTGGTTTGTTCTCTCCCGCAGAATAACATTACAAAATTAGGACCTTTTGCAAGTGAGAGTTCTGGGGATCTAACCTCCCCAACAGTTTTCATGACGAATTCATCATTTTTCGAAGGGGCAATGAAAAATCTTGTCGACTATGCATACGTCAGTGTGCATCCAGTGATCAAGCCAGGTTGAGCGTCGAAAATCTACAATTACTTCTAGAGTTCTGGTAAAAAGTCATAGACATTGTAATGCGGGCTTGTTACTAGTAAAACAGTCATCAACATTGATGATGGATGACAAAACGCTTAAATATGAAAATGTACCACATTTCTAACGATCAATCAGTTTTATTTTCTCAATCACAACTACAATAAGCGAAGTTCATGAGTTTACATTTACGGTGAAGTCATAACTGTGCATTGCTTTGATATTAATTACCAGCATGAAATAACTATGAATTGCTTAATTGCCTTTAGTGGCACATCAAATTAAGTTAATTGATGACTAGCACTATTTTCAATACTTGAAACTACTTATTTTTCCTTAAATTGGAATTTCGAAACATAAGAAATGTTAAGATATTCATCAAATATCCTAAGAGAATTATTTTTGTAAGCCTAATTCTATTGGGCAATTCCTACTTGTTAATATTATGGTCGTCCTAACGATCAATACAAACGTCAAGATGGAGCGGAAACTTGGAGAACTACCAAAGCCATCATCCACAAGATACAAGTGTTTATGAACAGTTGTCTACGCAAAATACTTCGGATTCGTTGACCAGACACCATCAGCAACAACGTACTGTGGGAGAAAACAAACCAGATTCTAGTGGAGGGGGAAATCAAGAAGAAGTGGTGGAGGTGGATAGGACACACATTACGAAAAGCACCTAACTGCGTCACAAGACAAGCCCTCACATAGAACCCTCAAGGTGAAAGGAAAAGAAGTCGGCCAAGGAACACATTACGCCGAGATACAGAGAAAGATATGAGAGGAATGAACAAACATTGGACAGAACTGGAGAGGGAAGCTGAGGACAGAGTTGGTTGGAGAAAACTGGTTGGCGGTCTATTCTCCATTGTGGGTAACAGGCGTAAGTAAAAGTGAGTAAGTACACGATCAATGTAACGTACTTCAATGTTGTTTCCTATTCGATCTAACTGTATCATTATCTGTTACGTTTTATGACCCGCACCCGGACCTGGATCCCTAGTTTGGGCTCCAGATTCTTTTCTGGACTCAGATCTCGTACTTTCTGGATGCTTGAAGAATACAGGTTCTACTTCATATCAAGTCTTATTCGTTTACTCAATGTGGGTTTAGGTCGTGTGGCTGGATACTCGATCCTCGCTCTAGTTTTCCTGACTAAGGTAAACTCGTCATAGTTCAACCATGTCAAAATGATGTGTTTACATGCATACGTAACAAGAAATTACATTTTTTTTGTAGGTAACAAGCAAATAGAGTCAATTTCAATGAATTATTGCTAAGACTAAGCATAAGTAAACTTTTGTAAAACTTTCACCATTTTCAAATTAACCACTATGATCTTGAATGTTTAATAATTGAATTTATTCATTTGTTTTAAATTTGTAAGTGTAGACATTTTAATTGTTAGTTTTCAAATGAATCATTTATTTTAACATGCTGATCAGATTTCAATATTATTATTATTATTATATAAATTTTATGAATATTGTACTTAAAAGAATAAGTAGACAGAATATACTGAAAAAGATATGAAGGACAAGAAAGTTTTGGTTCAGTGAAGCGTTCTCTTTCTTTTTCGGAGAATTCTTTTTCAAAGATGTAGAATCGTGAACAATGGAGCTCAACCATGTATGGTGTAGGCTGTAACTAACAAAGACACTGGGTGAGCTGGAGCAAAATCCTTGGACTGATCAAAGTTAAACATTAACACCGTTGGATGCCACAGGCTCAGTGGTCCAGAGATTAGGCTATCATGCGCTAACCTGCATTGGATTACTGGTAGTGTGGTGTGTGCTACTTATACGAACGATATAAGTAGTATAAGAAGGGACGTGAAAGAAGAACTCTCACGGTCACAAGAGGAAAACGGAAAGCAAATAGAGAAAAAGCAAGAAGTAAATGGAGTAGTACCAACAGGAAGTAAAGGAAGCCACAGCAGGAATGGAAGAAGGATGGAGCGTTGGAAGTCACGACTCAAAGATGGTGTGCAAATAGAGTGTTCAATGTAATGTTTTCGTTTTTAATTGACTAAGAGTGTAAATTTGCCTATTGCGCCTGCCTCAGTCTTCTCAGTAGTAGCAGGAGTCGTGAATGCGCACCGGCACTGATCAGTCTCATACTATAGTATGAAACGTTCGTCCAGTGCTCTCAGGGTTTCTAACGGTGGTCTAACAATGATGTATTTTTGATTTCAGTAATATATATATATATTTTCCCTCACATGATAATAGTAAGAATAAAAAAGGCATGTACATCATGAAACAAGCTACATAAAGGCATAAGAACGTTATTTTGAATAAAAGAAATTAAAAGTAATCATAATGTTTTCATGGTTGTTGTTTTTGCCACGCCGAAATATTCATCTTTGAAGATTGATAAAGTAATAATATCAGTCGGAAAGGGAAGATTCTGTCTGCGTGATAACATGAAATGAATAGTTCAAACTGAGAATTCAAAGAAACAGAAACAAATCAGTTGGGGGTAAAACATGCTATTGCTTTATCTGATTTGTCTCATTATAGCCATGTTTGCTAAGATTTTTATTATTATCATGTGAGGGAAAAATAGTGTAAGTTTACGGTTGTACAACTTTAAAAATAGATTCATCGAAAAGACAACACATCACTGAACCATTCTTTCTCTTGCTTTAAAGACGGGTTGATTACAGTCGAGTATGAATTCAGTAGTTTGAAGCTAATGTGTTCATTAAAGGTCTTAATTTGGTTGTTTCGGAATGGTTATTGAAGTTTACTGATCTACGAAGGAAGGGATTACCGAAAGCGTTAAATCAAATTTTAAATGTAGAAACTCGGGCGACAACAAAGAAAGCACTTATTCCATTGCGATTTCAACTTATTAGACTTGTATAATCATATATATCTGACCATTGAAATTTGTTAATAGTACAGATCGACTGAATGTATTTTGGTCAATTGTAGTATACTAAGGAGTTTTCACGGACAACTAAATTAAGAGCGTTTGCGCACAACACCGAAGAAACTGGGTCCAAATTCTGTGAATAGTGTGAGTCATGGATGCGCACTGTTGATGAGTCCCATACTATAGGAAAAAACGGCGATCGAGTGCTTCTAGGTTTCTAATGGTGACCTAACAATGATTCCTCCATGATTTCAATGTGTTAAATATTACAGTTGGTCTATTATCCATGGTTTGATTTTATCTGTAGAACAAAAAGAAACCCAGGGAGCATTGGACAATCGGTTCAGTGAAGTATAGGACTCTCCAGAAATGTACCTAGACGACTATATCGTAAATCGAAAACGATTTTCAAGCCTATGAATGAGAATTACAGCTCAATCTTCTTAGTTTTCACTATCCAATTATTTCTCTATTACTTAATTACTTACGCCTGTTACCCACAATGGAGCATAGGCCGCCCACCAGTTTTCTCCAACCAACTCTGTCCTGGGCTTCCCTCTCCAGTTCTGTCCAATGTTTGTTCATTCCTCTCATATCTTTCTCTATTTCTCGGCGTAATGTATTCTTTGGCCTTCCTCTTTTCCTTTTGCCTTGAGGGTTCCATGTGAGGGCTTGTCTCGTGACGCAGTTAGGTGCTTTCCGCAATGTGTGTCCTATCCACTTCCACCGCTTCTTCCTGATTTGCTCCTCCACTGGAATCTGGTTTGTTTTCTCCTACAGTACGTTGTTGCTGATGATGTCTGGTCAACGAATACGAAGTATTTTGTGTAGACAGCTGTTATTAAACACTTGTATCCTCTGGATGATGGCTTTGGTAGTTCTCCAAGTTTCCGCTCCATACAGTAAAACTGTCTTCACATTTGTATTGAAAATGCTGATTTTGGTTTTGTTTGAAAGTTGTTTCGATTTCCAGATATTTTTCAACTGTAGAAATGCAGCCCTTGCTTTGCCAATCCGCGCCCTCACATCTGCATCCGATCCACCTTTCTCGTCGATGATGCTGCCCAGATATGTAAAGTTAACTTATTAGACTAGTATAATGATAGATATTTGACCACTGAAATTTGTTAATAGTGCAGACTGACAGTATGTATTTTGGTCAATTGTAATATACTATGGAGTTTTCACGGACAACTAAATTATGAGCGTTCGAGTACAACACCGAAGAAACTGGGTCCAAATTCTGTGAATAGTGTGAGTCATGGATGCGCACTGTTGATGAGTCCCATACTATAGGACAAAATGGCGATCCAGTGCTTCTAGGTTTCTAATGGTGACCTAACAATGATTCCTCCATGATTTCAATGTGTTAAGTATTACAGTTGGTCTATTATCCATGGATTGATTTTATCTGGAGAACCAAAGGAACCCAGTGAGCATTGGACAATCGGTTCAGTGAAGTATAGGACTCTCCAGAAATGTACCTAGATGACTTCATCGTGAATCGAATACGATTTGCAAGCCTATGAATGAGAATTACAGCTCAATCTTCTTAGTTTTCACTATCCAATTATTTTTCTATTACTTACTTACTTACGCCTGTTACCCCCAATGGAGAATAGGCCGACCACCAGTTTTCCCAAACCAACTCAGTCCTAGGCTCCCCTTTCCAGTTCCTTCCAGTTTTCGTTTATTCTTCTCATGTCTTTCTCTATTTCTCGGCGTAGTGTGTTCTTTGGCCTTCCTCTTTTCCTTTTGCCTTGAGGGTTCCATGTGAGGGCTTGTCTTGTGACGCAGTCAGGTGCTTTCCGGAATGAGTGTCCTATCCACTTCCACCACTTCTTCCTGATTTCCTCCTCCACTGGAATCTGGTTTGTTCTCTCCCACAGTACGTTGTTGCTGATAGTTTCTGGCCAACGAATACGAAGTATTTTGCGTAGAAAACTGTTCATAAATACTTGTATCTTCTGGATGATGCCTTTCGTAGTTCTCCAAGTTTCCGCTCCATACAGTAGAACTGTCTTGACATTTGTATTGAAAATCCTGATTTTGGTTTTGTTTGAAAGTTGTTTGGAGTTCCAGATATTTTTCAACTGTAGAAATGCAGCCCTTGCTTTGCCAATCCGCGCCCTCACATCTACATCGGATACACCTTTCTCGTCGATGATGCTGCCCAGATATGTAAAGGTGTTAACGTCCCCCAAGGCATCTCCATCAAGAGTGATTTGGTTGGTACTTGTTGTGTTGCATCGGAGAATTGTGCTTTTTCCTTTACGTATGTTGAGACCTACTGCTGCAGAGGCTGCTGCTACACTGGTCGTATTTCTCTATAACGTCTTCTTATTGATATGAATGAACCGTACCGATTAGTGCAATTTAGTAGAATTTTGGCAAGTCATTGTAAAACTAGTCACCCAGATGTTTAATAAATAAAACAATACTAACCTTTATTAACACTGTAATTATATTGATCAGATATACATTCTTCCACTGAAGGCAATCTAATTTGTACAGTTGAATGTTGTTGTTGATGATAGTAATTACTTTGGTCAGCTGAATGTTTAAATTTCTGTGAATATTTAGCATGAGTTCGTTGTAAACTATTCATTTTTAAATATTCTGCTGATTGGTTAATATTTTCATGTGAGTTTAATGATCGCTTTGTAGTTGAAGACGATGAAATGTGTTCTAGGGATAGAAAAAAAATCAATATTTTGTAAAATTATACTGAATATAAGTGAATAGTGATGTTACGAGTTTCGTTTAAGGTTATTTTTAAGCAAATATATCTACACTTTATTAACTTGAGAAGCACCACTGATAATCGAAGAGGATCTAGTGCGAATATCACGGAATGAATTAGCCAGGCTAATACAGTACCCTTTCAAATAAGAAATATTTGGAATTCATAATTACACTGATACAGCACTCATAACTCACAAACCGTAACACCAACATCAAAACGATTGTCTTTCACACAGTTGACCGAAAATGCATGGTACAACAAGGAGACGTACAAGGACGTTTTGTAGACCAGAGCGACCACTCAGGAACAAATAAAGAAAGATAATTACTAAAGTTCCGGGGAGATGGAACAGATCGGAGAATGGTGTAGCCATTCTGTCTCATACATAAAAACGAAAGAAGACTAAGTCTGTCAGTTTATGAGCAGATTCCATAGTAATTAGCAAATATACAACAGCATCCTCAGTCAGTCAGTCAGATGCAACGTAGAACTTCGTACGTAAGTACATCAGTTCATGTTGCCATACCACATCAGCACAGAGATATAATTGTCAATTCAAATCCAATAGTAGAAGAGGTAGTAAAGGTATTAGAAGTAATCGGAGAGGTTAGGATTAGAAGATATTCAAGAAATATGATTCAGTGAGAAAAGTTTAGAAAGTCGAAAATAGAGGGGTTGAAGAATCCAGAAGATTAGGGTTTGAGAGAACACAAAGAATAAATGCACCTGCGCCATTGCAAACGGTTTTGAGCCTATCAATCAGGGGATATCTGGAATTCAAGACAACTTTCATACAACACTCATAACTAACAAATCACAACACCAACATCTAAACGATTGACTTTCACACAGCTAAACTGTCGACAACTAACACCATGACCGAAAACCCACTCAACAATCAAGTACCTACACGACCTTCAACCCATTGACCAGAGATCACAAAGTATCACCAAATGTGGTAGAGAACAAACCAGTTGTCAGTTAATGATGATATTTGGGAAATGTCGTATAGTGGACAGGATATCATCGTTGGAGAAGACCAATAAAGTATGTAGCCGGTGAATCCTCAACGCGAAAGCGCAAGAAACACACCCGAAAGAACACAGTATGTCGGGATGGTGGAGAAAACTTGTAGCTCAGGTGGATAATTTTGGTGGTGTTTCGTTCTCTGAGCTGGGTGTTTTTGGTTGTGGAGCTTTCATTGTTCTTCTTCTGAACAACATCATCAGCACAAACTTCAGATAGAAGCAGTGAAGCATTGGAATTTCTCCACGTTTGACCTGTAGCTTGTTCTGCTAACCTCGATCTTGATTGGTTGTTGTTGACCTTAAACCTGTTTGCACATTTGTTTTTACTGTATCGCCTTTTTGATCTGTTTCTTGATCCTATATCCCCTATGATTTTTCTGATTGGTTTTATAAATTGGGTCAATCTCGATGTGTTTATTGATTGCTGATTGCTGATTACTGTGTGTTCCGATATGTCTTTCATGTATGGTAGGATGATCCGTTTGTTGGTTCCTGTACTTGATTTCGATTCTGTTGTGCTGATGATGTTGTTCAACAGAAGAACAATGAAAGCTCCACAACCAAAACAACCAGCTCAGAGGACCAAACACCACCACAGTATGTGTCGGTAATGGAGGGGGTGGATATGTTAAGAAGCATGAGCATCACTTGTCAATAACTAGAAACAAGATATTTTGAACATAGTTACACTTATAGATCGCTTGTCACGTCTATTACACTGTTGATGTTCTTACCTACCTACTTATTTAATTTCCTATTATATTCAATCAGAGCATAGAAAAAGAATGAATTGCACTGTATTCTGTCGCGATTATATTATTATAATTGTTTTTGTTATTGTTAATAGAAGATGATGGGCAGGCAGTCCCAGTGATGAATTGATTTGGTAAACATAATGTTTATCATTTTCATTGTCACTCATAACGGGTACATTATTATTAATAATATTATTATTATTATTGTTATTCAGCGTGACAATAACATTATAAACTGAAACTGATTAGGAGGCATATTTATTGTGTATGAGGCAAAGAAAAACAATCTTTATTCTATCTAATGTTGATCAAAATGAGTGAAAATCAATTTTCGTTTTGTTCCGAGTAAGTGGTCAAATTAGTTGACAAAAAATAATGATAGAAATGATGCCGATGAAATTATGAATGAGTGTGATTGTTAAATAAATCATTAGTTACCTGGACCCTGTTTCGTCCTGGTGTGGTGTGTGCTACTTATACGAACGATATAAGTAGTATGAGAAGGGACGTGAAAGAAGAACTCTCATGGTCACAAGAGGAAAATGGAAAGCAAATGGAGCAAAAGCAAGAAATAAATAGAGTACCGACAGGAAGTAACGGAAGCCACAGCAGGAATGGAATAAGGATGGAGCGTTGGAAGTCAGGACTCAAAGATGGTGTGCAAATAAAGTGTTCAATGTAATGTTTTCGTTTTTAATTGACTCAGAGTGTAAATTTATCTATCGCGCCTGCCTCAGTCTTCTGTTGATCGGCACCGTCTCAGTGATTCAGAAGTTAAGCGTTCGCGCACAAGACCGAAAGTCCTGGGTTCGAACTCTGTGAGTGACGGGAGCCATGGATGCTCACTGCCACTGATGAGTCCCATACTATGGGACGAAACGGTCATCCTGCATCTTCATGTTTCTAATGATGGTCTAACATTGATCGATTCGTGATTTCAGAAAGGTAGCTCAACAATCTCCACAACCCTGTAATGCAAATCTCTAGTAATCATTCATTCATTCAGTCAGTCAAACCTTCATAGTCACCATAATATTATTTCTTTTCTTTAAACAAGTTTATTAAAACAATGAAAGGAAGAATTATTTAAAAATGAATCGATCAATGTTCAATGGTAATTCAATCACTTACCATAGTGGATCAAATTATCAGTAGTATAAATAATCATGATAATTTGTAGGAATTTGTTTAAATTTAATAATAACATATCTTCACATTGTAAATACCATGGAATAATTCGAAAGGTATTGTTGAACTGTTCAATAATTTTTTCAATGATTCATAAAACACAGCTGATATTGAAAAAGAAACTATCTGCAGTGGTGATTGGATAATTAACATGATGAATTATTATTGGAGATATTTTTGATAATGAAGTGATTGTTAGAGAAGTAGTCGTTACGTAAGCTGTCATCATTGTTGACGATGGATATTATAGTTTTGTATTGAACATTGAACGCTACCTGTTCAAATAAAGGAGAGAAAAAGCGGCGCGTTTTTTAAAATTTAGGACATATATATATATAATTTTTAAACTGAAAGTATGAAAGAGATGTTGAAAGTCAGTGTGTAAAAAGTCAATGGTAAAGAGCAAGAGATGGCACTATCTAATTTTTGACATTGATAATTGAATATAAATGTGTATTTATTTGTAAATGTGTGTGTTTAAGTGGGTACTACAGCGTGTACTGAAGAATATAAAACATTATACTTGTGTGTACGACTACTTGTGGTCAACAGATCAATGAATAATGTTTTGCTGTTTGATTCGAAACACACTACGCTTGAGTCCTAGAGTGAATCATTCGGAAAAGGATATAAGTTTAGCAGCTTGACAGCCTGATTTTCATTGAAATCGTGAATCAGTCATTTTTAGACCATAATTAGAAACCTGGAAGCACTGAAAGACAGTCGTTTCGTCCTGGTATGAGACTCATCAGCACTGCGCATACACGACTCTCGATACTCGCTGGATTGCAGCGCAGGACATTAGGTCTTGCGCGTGAACGCTTAACCTCTGAACCACTGAGCCGGTATCCAACCGTGTTAATGTCAAACTGTGATCAATCTAAGGATCTTTTGCAACCTCACGCAATATCTTCGGTAGTGACTGCCTAAATATGACAGTCACGAGTCCTTGCTAGAACTCCGAGATCTTCCTCACGAAGTTAGTCATTCGGGAGCAGATTTTACGATTTTTTTTCCATTACGGGATGATGCGACTTTGATATTAGGAAGAAGCGCTGAAACTGAACAGGACACACACTGCGAAAAGTACCCAACTGTGTCACAAATCAAGCTCTCAGTTAGAATCCTCAAGGCAAAACGGAAAGAGGAAGCCCTAGGAACACATTATGCCGAGAAATGGAGGCAGACATAAGAAGGATGAACAACAATTTTGACGGAACTAGAACGCAAAGCTCAGAAAAAACTAGTTTGGAGAATGCTGATCAGCGATCTATGCCCCATTGCGCGTACCAGGTGAAAGTAAGTAACTAAGTACATACTGTTTGAAAAAACATTTTCTAATAATTACAAATCTTATTCGAACACTTTCATATTATACGAAAAGTAAGAAAATACAATTTACGCATACATATTCATCAACTTCAGGTTTTTCTACTTATCAGTTCTTTGAATGCAAATCTATTTACATTTGTCATAAACGAAAAGTGTGTAAAAATTTTATGACAATTTTATCAACACTATTGATTTGTTAATCAGTAATAAACTGTATTTTGTAAACCGATTACTTGTATTGTTTATGTCAAAAAATAAACTTCATGAGAAAGATAAAGTAATGTACTTAATTGATGTTTAATATTTTTTTTCATTTCATAATCTTATCTAATACAGTTTCTTTTTAAATATATATATATATATTGGATACATAAAACAGAAATGGTGTACTTTGTCTCATATTAGACACGTACAGCTATTGAAGTAAGGAGAATTGAAAATGAGCGGCATCAGTAGAAACCTGGAGCTACTGGACGGCCGTTTCGTCCTGGTATGTGACTGATCGACAGTTCGAATCCGTGACTCTTTCTGCTCACAGGATTCGAACCCAGGGCCTTTGGTCGTGTGAGTGAACGCAGGAATAGGTGTGGTTGCGCGAAACCTTTGATTAACAAGAGTTAGACATTAACACCATTGGATGCCTAATCCATTGCACAAGTGTGTGTCTATCTGAACTCAGTAGCTAAGTGATTGGTACGGTGGCGTTTCAGGCAAACAGAAGTGGGTTCGAATCTCGGAATGAGCATCACCTCTGAGATGTAGATGTATCTGGATGATGAGTCCGAAATAGTACCAAACGTGCGTCCTAAATTTCACTAATAGCCACATTCTACTTATTCCATATATACTGTTTAAGGAATGTTTACCTAAAGTAATCGCTGAAATCCTTTAAAAAGGCCGAGAAAATGCAATGGAAAACACCGAAACTAAATGACTAGTAAACTTATTAGTTTATTCACCGGAAAAAACGTAATTCGACGATGGTTTCTAATTTGAGCATAAATGATGAAGATATTATTGTTAGGATATTCACCAAATATCCTACGAAGAATTATTTTGAAAGTGTAAATTCTATTGGTCAATATTATGGTCGTCCTAGCTATCAATGTCACGTACTTCAATGTTGTTTCTTATTGGTTGTCCTGACTATCAATGTCACTTCAAATGTTACTTCCTATTGGTTGTCTTAACTGTCAATGTCACAGACTTCGATGCTGTTTCTTATTCAACCTAAATGTATAAATACGCATTATCTGTAACGTTTAATGACCAGGACCCGGATCGTCAGCGCGGAATCCATTTCTTCTTCTGCACTTGGACCTCTTATTTTTTGGATGCTTGTAGAATACATGTTCTACTTCATATCAAGTCTTCTTCTTTTACTCAGTGGGAGTTCAGGACACTCGGATTAGAGTCGCATGTCGTGTCGCCGGATCCTCGCTCTCGTTTTCTGACTAAGATAAACTGGTAATAGTTCAAACATACCAATTTGACAAGTTTACGTGCATGTGTTAACATTGTCCGTTATCAATTTATTTTAAATCGTATTCTCGAAATCCACTAAAAAAGTCTGATTAAAAATATCAATTTCTATTCATGACAATGATCTTTCAATGATTGGTCGTCATGAAGTTTTCTTTCAGTTAACTAATTCTCATAAAATTCTCATAGAATCAAGATAGTGAATTCAAAAATAGTAAACCAAATGATCTCATCAAAGTTTAATGAAAGTGTTGTAAATTAATATATCGGTAACCGAATTTTCTATGATCTAATTTAACAGTGTATTGAAAATACTTTACTACACCATGATGCAATGCATATATTCATCTGCTATCACTTACAAAATGATTAATATGTCAATTCTATGCGATAATTTTGAATTTTAAACTATTATTACTTGTAAGTAGTAGTTGATGAGGAGAACACCATTGGGCAATAAAATCAATTCATATTATGCTGATCAGAGGGTTAAATCGATTGCGCAGTTTCATGAGTTGATTAATATTACAGACAACTGGAAGAATTAGTAGGCTTTATCGTCATAGTTTGGTACTTAACAGTATATTATTCAGTGACATTGTTTGTTATGGCTCTCTGAAAGCTTTAAGTTCTTGTCTATAGTATCGTGTTTGCTCAATGGTGTGGAAGAGATGGGTTGAGAATGCACTGGTTTTTGGTGTATTTACCCTAATGGAAAATTATTTTCTGAAAAAACTGTACTGTACAGTCAGTTTAGACAGATAAGGTATTTACAAACAAAGATATTCTCTGTTATGCTCGTCACTTGATATGCTTGAAACTATTACAAGTTCACCATAGCCGATAACCGAGAACGAGACAATGACCCATTGACGCGGTAGGCTACTCTGATCCGTTGCCCGAAATAACTGACGGAAAAGTCTTGATGTGGCGTAGAAAATGTATTCTACAAGCACCCAGCAAACGGAATGCAGTCAAGCCCGAAAATCGCGTTTATTTATACATCATAGAAACGTCCTTGGGGGAGTCACAAAAATAGCGTACTAAAATAACACATCAACCGGTGACAGTCAAGGATTTTCCTGGTGGAAAATATAGCCTCAAGGTCAACTGATCAGCCCATGCATAAAATCCAAAATTAGGACCTTGATCAAGTGAGTTCTGTGGATCTTACGTCCCCGACATCCTAGTACCAATATGCTTCCTCGGCTATTTCATAGATGTAACCTTCGTAAACAGCGAAAAATATTTTATTTTTCAAACTTTAAACCTAGTAAACAATAAAAATATTAGAATTATTTTTCTGTTAAATCTAAATAAAAAGAAACTGTAGTTTTTTTACCGACCTACTTAATTTTTTTACAACTTCTGTAGTGTAAATATAAAAACGTTTACCACTTATCATCTGAATTTACTGCTGACTATCATGATATCCACTTCACAGTGAAGAGTAAGCATTCAAGAGAGTATCGATTATTTTACTTATGTCACTTCTGATTCTAAGTCTATCACCAAAAAATAATAGTACACAGAATAAACGATTTCTACTTAATTGTTTGGAATTAAAAGAAGGCAAGTTCTCTTTTTACGTTGAAATCATGAATGAATCGTTGTTAGACCACTATTCTAAACCTGGGAGAAGTGGATGGCCGTTTTGTTCGGGTTCAAGACTCATCAGCAATGCGCAGCCACGACTCCTGCTACTCACTGGACGGTCACCGGCTTAGCGCTGCAGAGTTCAAGAGTTCGCGCCCAAGACCGAAGGTCCTAGGTTCGAATCCTGCGGGTGGCAGGAGTCATGGATGCACACTGCTGATGAGTCCCACACAAGGACAAAACGGCCGTCCAGAGCTCCCAGGTCTCTAATGCTGGACAACGCTTTCCATAATACTATATTGGAATAGTTCTCATTTATCACAAGTATGTATAGTTAAAGTATTCGAATAAGTCGAAAATTTAAAACCTTTTTCGAAAGTTTCGTGACTCAGTGTTGAGACATTTCACGAGAGTCAATAAATAGACAAGTTTAATTAACTCAAGTTTAAAAAATAGTACAAAGGAACAAAGGAAAAAAAATAATATATTTTCTACAGTCAATTAAAAGTCAAATCTGATTAATTCAAGCTCATATCATTTCGGTCAAGTTGATCTAACTAATGAGAAAGAAGACTGGTATCCATCCTTCTGTGTAGGTGTGTGAGTGTA